ATAGCAGGGTGTTTCTGTGTTCCTTTCCTGCTTAGATTTTTTTAATGGTCTTCCTTTTCCCTTTCCTTTTCAAATATGTGGGACCAGGCAGCTTTATTTGCATAACCTCAGGACGTTTCCCCTTCTGTGGAAGGCATAATTGTACAACTCATACCTTACTTTGGCTAAATAACTAGCAAATCCAAAGCTCTTAAAGGAAAGATTTGTTTCCTTTTCCCCTTCAGAATTTGAGAGAATGAATTGATTAATAAAGTGAAATTTCTTTTGTGAATTATTGGAAAAGAATTTTTTTGAATGACACCCGTTCAGTGTACTACACATTGCTGTACTTCCTTTTTTAGGTTCATAACTAATGGAATTTTATAAAAGATTTCATTATCAAGGTTTTCTATAATAAATTATAGTAAGGTATGGGAATAATTAATGCAAGGGAATGTGCAAGGTTGGTAGACTATATTGAATGAACAGTTTAGTCTCTATAAACAACTCATGAAACCAAGATTAACTTGGTAAAGGGATTCATGTTCTGCTTGAAGAGAAGTAAGGATGTCTTTATAACTCATGATTCTTTTTTGAGGTCAGTATTTTGACTGAAACAAGGCCTGTTGCCATTCTTTTTATGTCTTTCTTGTGTGTGATGACAAACTGTTGTCTAAACAAACAAACCAACCAAACAAACAAACAAAACCCTTAAATTCTTTAAGCTTCAAGCAAAGGAAACTTAAAACATTTAGACAGTCACTTAAACTTTGAAAATTTTCATGGACAACTGTGGATCAAAGGACTGAAAAGAAAGCCCCTTTATAGATGGTCTAGCTTATTATTTCACCTCTAAGCAATCCTTAAATTGTTCTGGTAAGATGGGCATAGCTTCCTTTATTTTAAAGAACACAGCCATAGCTTCCCTCGTAATTCTGTTTGGAATTTAACATCCATCTCTGCCTGAAACAACTCCTTTGATCTTTGCCCTAAATCCCATGGCTTACAATTTAAGACCATTTCTTATTGTGGTATCCTCTGTGGAGAGGATGAAGCATAGCCACCTGCTACTGTGTCACTATCAGTCTTTGTGAATCAAAGAATGTTAAAGCTTGAGGGGATCTTAGAGCTTATCTGACTTAACAGTTTTCTCCTCTCTGCTTCGGTACTTTTAGTGATACAGTCTCCTACCATTACATAGCTCTAATTAACAGCTAGTTAATTGTACTTGAAAATCAATAAGTTGTTTCTTTTCTAGGCTCATGGTTCCATCTCTCCAAACCTTTTCTGCTAAGTCAAATTCTTAATTTTTCCAAACACCACCTTTGTTTTACTCTTCTAAACCACCTCCAGGTGAGTGATCAGGGTCTGTCTGATTAATCTCAATATTGTCCCTCTCTCTCTTTATTTATTTTAGTTGTGAGATGATGAGTGTGGTTCATAAAAAAGCAATCTATGGGACTTGAACAAAATTTAATTTGTGCCTTGGGAGAGGAGAATTCAGTTCTGGAAATGACAGTAATGTTTCAGGAAAATTATAGCTTTGGAGTAGTACTACTTTGTAGTTATACTTTCAAAGAATGCTTATATTGATTATCTCACTTAATCTGAACAGACACCCTGTATGTTGGGCATGGCATATATTATTGATCCAGTTTGACAAAACTAAACCTCAGTGAGTAAGTGATAGGCTCAAGTTCATAAGGTCAGATAGAAGCAGACATCTCTCATGCTTGCAGTCTGTTGTCTTCTGTGTTTACTCTATGTTTATTTAGTCTCTGTCTCAGGCAGTGCTTAGAGAATTGGGTGAAAACTTTTAGGGAGAAGAATATGGATTCCATTTGATTGGAGGAACTATTCATGGTCCCGATGTGACTCCTTCCCATGGAGTAGCTTTACCTCTTTGAGTCTGCTCACAGCCTGCATTATCTGTGTTGGCCACCCTAGGGTACCAGTGCATTGGCAAGTCCACTTTGGTCTAATACTATCAAGCCCATGCTGCAGCCTGCACACATCCTATTCAATTACCCACTGGTGAAGTAGATAATCAACTCTGATGCTGGGGAATACCACAGACTAATTGGCACTGACCCTTGTTACATGCAGCTCAGTATTACTAAGATGGATGAGGATCAGATACTGTCTTAGTCCATCTGTGTTTCTCTAACAGAATACCTGAGACTGGGTAATTTATAAAGAATATAAATTTACTTTTTTTTTTTTCTTTTTAAAAGATGAGGTTTCACCACGTTTGTCAGGCTGGTCTTGAACTCCCGACTTCAGGTGATCCGCCCGCCTTGGCCTCCAAAGTGCTTGGAGATTACAGGTGTGAGCCACCACACCCAGCCATAAATTTACTTTCTCACTGTTCTGGAAGCTAGGAAGTTCAAGACCAAGGCATTGGCAGGTTTGGTGTTTGGTGAGGTGTCGTTCCTCATTGATGGCACCTTGTTTCCTGCATTATCACCTGGTGGAAAGTGGGAGGCAAAGACGGCAAGAGAGAGCAAGGGAGCTCTTTGAAGACTTTTTTATAGTGGCATTGACCCATTCATGATGGTGAGCCCCCATGACTTAATCACTTACAAAAAGCCCCTCCTCTTAATACTGTCACATTAGGGATTAAATTTCAACACCTGAATTTTGGGTGGGATACAACATTCAAACCAAAGCAGATACTTAAGCTAATATGGTGTTAAAATTAAGTTTACACACCCTTGGGCACTCTTGGTGAGACAGTAAAATGGTTTAACTGCTATAGAAAACAGTATAGTAGGTCTTCAAAAAGTAAAAAAATAGCATTACCATATGAGCCAACAATTCCACTTCTGAATATTGAGCTCTGGCACATAAATTGTACTGCAGAGTTAGTCTCAACTTGAAGCAAGCCTTTTGTCCCTCTCCTTGGTCAGTCACTGTTTATGGGCTGCTACGGCTGGGGGTGTGAGGAAGCTTTAGGCTAGATGAGTCGCTGAAGGAGAGGGTGGCTATGAGCCATTAGCAGCCAACACTCACAGTAGCTTATATGTGAGTCCGTTGACCAGGTGGAAGGGATGCAGGCAGGACACCATAGAAATCATCATCACAAACTAGTTGGAGAAATGGCTGATTCCAGATCTGAAACAGAAAATGTGGAATGAGCTTGGCATGTCTTGTCAAACCATAAAGCAAGGAAGCATCAAAGACTACTGGGATCATGTCAGGACCGGGAGTAAACTTGGAGAGGCTCCTACTGCTCGATCAATAAGAATAATGATCACGGTAGGTTGAAATACATCCATATATTGAAAATCTATGAATCTATGATATTTTTAAAAACTATTTATTGGTGACTTTTGGAGAGTGCTAGGGAACTAACTCACTTCTAAAAAGTGGTAAAGGGAAAGAAGCAAGCATTTTCCTGTCTTTGCTTTATGGATTATTCTACATGGTAATCAAATCATTGTTGAAGGAAGAAGGAATGATGAAATTATAGTCTCACGATCTTGCAAGCCCTAATAAAATAGTGAACCTAGACATTGATCATCAATACATTGCCAACACAGATGGACTAAGGCAGTATCTGATCCTTATCCATCTTAGTAATACTGAGCTGCATGTAACAAGGGTCAGTGCCAATTAGCCTGTGGTATTCCCCAGCATCAGAGTTGATTATCTACTTCACCAGTTGATAATTGAATAGGATGTGTGGAGGCTGCAGCATGGGCTTGATAGTATTAGACCAAAGTGGACTTGCCAATGCACTGGTACCCTAGGGTGGCCAATGACTGCTAACACATAAAAGAGAGACAACCACAAGTATGTCCCTCTTCATGAAAGTACACAAAAGTACTTATGAAGCATTCTTTTTTTTTTTTTTTTTTTTTGAGACAGAGTCTCATTCTATTGCCAGGCTGGAGTGCAGTGGCACGATCCCAGCTCACTGCAACTTCCGTTTTCCGGTTTCAAACAATTCTCCTGCCTCAGCCTCCCGAGTAGCTGGGGCGTGCCCGGCTAATTTTTTGTACTTTTAGTAGAGATGGGGTTTCACCATGTTGGCCAGGATGGTCTCGATCTCTTGACCTTGTGATCCGCCCACCTTGGCCTTCCAAAGTGCTGGGATTACAGGTGTGAGCCACCGTGCCCGGCTAAAGTATTCTTGCTAAAAAATTGAACCTAAATCAGATCAAATTGCTAGTTCTAATTATAGATTTACATAAAATATAGGTGACAGGAATATGTTAAATGATAAGGGAAAGATAGTGAAGATACATTTAGCAAAGTTGAGGTGTGGGAAACTCTAGAACAAATACCCCCAGTTTCTTTGACAAATTATAAGAAAAAATGTGGGAATGATAGTCTGTACACGAAACAACACTTAAAAGACCTACCAGCCAAATGTAACATGTATGCCTTATTTGGGTGAATAAACTGAATATAAAAAAAAGAGAAAGGGGGGGAAATTTGAACAATGAATTTTTTTTTTTTTTGAGACAAGTTCTCTGTCACCCAGGCTCAAGTGCAGTGGCACAATCATGGCTGACTGCATCCTCAGCCTCCTGGACTCAGGTGATCCTCCTGCCTCAGTCTCCTGAGAAGGTGGGACTACAGGTGTGTGCCACCATGCCTGGCTAATTTTATAATTTTTTTTGAAGAAAGATGGTCTTCCTTTGTTGCCCAGGCTTGCATATTTGATGATATTAAGACACTTATAAAAATATTTTGGATTGATAATGGTATTTTGATATTATTAAAAATAATCCCTATCTTTTAGAGATGCATATTAAAATATTTAATAATGAAGTAAAATCCCTTGGATTGGCTTTAAAATCATCCGGTGGGGAAAATAAAAGGAGTGTAAGCTCCCTTTCTCATTTCAAAGTTGCTACCAGTGTATACAGTAATTAGAACAAAGAAGAAACATTCAGTAGAACATTTTATTGCCTAGTTGACAAAATTGCTTGAATGCTGGTGACTCCTATCCCTTTGACGCTACACAATTTTCTAATATGTGTTAATGCTACGTGAAAAAAACGCCCTGATTCCTAGTGCCAAAGGTTCAACTTAATGTATATACCTGAAACCCATGTATTTGTGCTCTTTTTTTTTTTTTTTTTTTTTTTTTTTTTTTTTTTTTTTTTTTTATGGT